GGATGGATGGATGGATGGATGGATGGATGGATGGATGGATGGATGGATGGATGGAACGAAAGAACGAAAGAAAGAACGAATGAACGAACGAATGAACGAACTTGTGAACAAAGGAGGGCCTTTCTGCAGACCACAAGAATATTTGAGGACACTGGTTGCTGGGAGGTCATGAGAGGTGAGCAAAGGAGGGCCTTGTTGCAGACCACAAGAATATTTGGGGACACTGGTTGCTGGGAGGTCATGAGAGGTTCAGATTTCCCCATTCCTATCTCACATTACTGCGGACCTACATGTGGACTCTGATGCAATCAGAATTTAGTGTTTTAAAATGTATCTTATTGTGCTTTTACTTGCCTTTTTCCTCACTGGGAGAAAATGAGTGTAGAAGTGAAATATATACATGCATACAATGTGCCCGACTGCTGAGCAACATACTTTCCCCAAATTGTACATTGTCTCCATGTTTTTAAAGCTTCTGTTACTTTTATATTCATACTGTCTGTCTAGATCAATGGGTCCCCAATCTTAGGTAACCCAGGTATTCTTGGACTGCAATTCCCAGAAACCCTGGCCAGCACAGCTGGAAGTGAAAGCGTCTGGGAATTGTGGTCCAGGAACAAGTGGGCTACCCAAGGTTGGAAACCACTGGTGTAGATTATATGCATTCTTCTTCATCCCTCTCCACTTTCTCAAAAATGTGGTTGTTGTGAAGCTGGAGGACCATTTTTTGGTCAAGGATGCTTCACTTAGTAAAAATGTAAGTGAGAGGTGGCCAAAATGTGGCCCTCCAGATGTTTTCGGTCTACTATTTCCAGTATTTTTCATTGTTGGCTGTGTTAACTAAGGGCTGATAGGAGTTATAGACCAGCCACATCTGCCCGCTTTTGAAGTAGATGATAAATCATGATGATTCAGCCATATCTCCAGAACACTAGCTCTGAGCAGAGGCATTCTACTTGACTCTGTGCTGTTGACTTTTTCCCCGTCTGTCCATCTTTCCACCTATGCTGTCCTTTTTTTTTGCTCAGACCAGAGTACCTTTTCCTTTCTTCCTGTGATTCTCAGAGCACCGTTGTGAAGTTGATTAGGCTAAGAGAGGGAAGAAACTAGCCCAAGTTGCCAAGTGGACTACGCTGTGATTAGGGCCAAGGTCTTCCTCAGCCATAGGGCAATAAAACCCTAATGGCTCTTAAACCAGGAAAGGTTTGCCAGGATCCAGATCCTACTTTTAATTGTTGTTGTAATTATGCTGTTTTATGTTATTGAATTTTATCTCTGTTGTTGGCCGCCTAGAGTAGTCCACCACGACTAGATAGGCGGGATATAAATTAAACAAACAAACAAACAAACAAACAAACAAACAAACAAACAAACAAATAAATAAATGGGACAGTGAGATGAATCATTTTTGTTTTGAATATATAATTTGATCAGAGAAAATGAAGCAGTCTTTTTGTGTGTGAGACAAAAGTTCTAGAGTTATCTGAGCTTTTATTATGACAAGTTTGCTTGTTTTCAAAACATGTGTATTCCCATTGCATTTCCTGTGTTACTGAACCCATATTTCTTTTCCTTTACAGTTTTCATCAAGCAAGGAATTCCCTGTGCTTTAATGCCACGTAGGTGGTTTTCACCTTAAAGCAGTCATAAGGAGCGGCCTACATAAAACGGTATTGAACGCTTTCCCTTGATCACTTATTGTTCTATTCTTGTTGTGTGTTTTGCTGCACTGAATGGATTTTTAATTTGTGAAAGTCTTTGCTGCTTACTGTTTTCAAATTAATGCCTTCTTGTTGAAGTTAATTCCATACCCATTTTTCTGTTAGCAAGCTCCTCCAGAGTGTGGGGTGTACTTTCCATGTCATTAATAGAGTCTGGGAGAAGGAGGGGTTGGGTTGGGTTGGAATGGAAGAGCAGAGACCCAGTGCTTTGAAACCTGCAAAGATCGTGACTCTTATAACCATGGGCCAGAATCCTATGAGTAATTTAGGTTTATGCAAATGAAATTATGTACGTTGTAGTAGCATATCATGCCTAGCAATGCAACCAGCACCTTGTACACAAATTGCCTTTTCCTGTCATGGTTTGAATGACTTCTCTTATGCAGGTTTAAATTTCCAACAAGATTCTGGCAAATCTAACTTTTAGCTTGTAGCATTTTTGAGCTATATAGGTTGATTATCCCATGCCATTCATGTCACTGCCTATTTTAGTCGCCATCTTTTACATTTGTAGGCAGCTGGTTCTTGGTATTTTTTGTTGGATCGGTTCATTTTGTGAGGCTCCATTATCTCCTTCCACTCATCCCAAATAGCTTAATTCTGTGACACAACGTGGCTGTGGAAGAAGAGCCACAGCAAGCTCCAGACAAGGTGTCCTGAGCATAGGAGCTGTCCACCCAAGAAACCAAAACAGGGTTGTAAAGAAGACGTTGCTACAGTCAGAGATCTTGGAATGGCAGGACTAATTCTGGGACATTGTGAGTTGTAATGAACACATGGCTTGTCCTTGAGATCTTACATGGATCTTGGGGACCTTCTGTAGACTGTGTCCAGCCTGTGAGAGAGTTAGGAAAACAAGGTGGGATTTTTTTTCTTGATTATTCATATTCCACATTCCTTGAAAGACTTCCATGTTCTATCCATTTCCCCCCAAGCTCTTGGAGATGGCAATATGTAGAGCAGGAGCTTCTGTTTACGTCAGGTTATATTGTGAGGTTATATTGTGTGTTTTCCCCCTTTCATTTTGTGCTGAGAAGCCTGGCAGAAGAAAGTCCTGCTGGGGTTATTCTCTTTCTCTCTCCATACGCATGTATGCATTATTCCCATTTCTATTTCATCTCGGGTTACTAGATAGGAGATTCATTGGCAAGTAATGCACTTGCCTCTCGAAGATAGCTAAGGAACTACAGCCAGTGGAGAATCTGACAGCTGACCTCACGGTGAGATCTTGCTGGCCGGCTGACCATTCCTTTGTTAGCTGGGTTCCAGGTTCATAGATCAAGGGGATCCATTTCTACTTTGCAGCAGTGAGGAGAGGGGAAATCATAGAACAGTGAAGTTGGAAGGGGCCTATAAGGCCATCAGGTCCAACCCCCTGCTCTGTGCAGGAATCCAAATCAAAGAATATCTGCCAGGTGGTTGTCTAGGTTTCTCCTTCAATGCCTCCAGCGTTAATGCACTCACCACCTCCTGAGGTTATCGGTTCCACTGTCTTGTGGCCTTCTCAGATATTGTTGGACTATAATTCCCATCAGCTGTAGCCAGCATGGGCCCAAATCTAATTGCTGCACCCAACTAGAATACACCCATTGAGACAATTGCTAAATGCCAAGTTTACATAAATCCCATTGATTCAATAGGTCTACTCCTGCTGGGGATTTAGACCAAAGCCATTGATAAAATACAATGGCAGCTGTAGTTCAGCGACATCTGATGGACCAGACGTTCCCCATCTACAGTTAGGATATTGGGTTTTTTAAAATGTAATTATTATGTCGGGGAATGGTGGGTGGGGGTTAGGGTTTATATCCTGTTGTAATGTGACTGGCCAGAGTAATGTTCCCACTAAAGCCAGTGGTATGTATGTATGTATGTATGTATGGATGGATGGATGGATGGATGGATGGATGGATGGATGGATGGATGGATGGATGGATGGATGGATGGATGGATGGATGGATGGATGGATGGATGGATGGATGGATGGATGGATGGATGGATGGATGGATGGATGGATGGATGGATGGATGGATGGATGGATGGATGGATGGATGGATGGATGGATGGATGGACTGTTACCATTCTCAGCCTGATGAGTCTCTGATAAATGTCAAAATTTGCCATCCTCTGGGACTGTCCTGTAGGCAGCAAACAGGGGCTGTCACATGAGATCAAGGAGAAACTTGGGACTTTTTGGCTTAGAAGGCACAGCCAGAACAGAAGGATACCAGCTTTCTATTTCAAAATGCTTTGGTCTCTCTCTCTCTCTCTCTCCTTATCTCAACATACCTTCTCTAGTGTTGAGCAGACTCCTAAGCTGCAGGTGTGCAGGAGTTAGAATAATGACTGCAGAACGCCCAAAATAGAGCTTGCTTGCCTGCATAAGTCATACAAAAACCTGTTTCTGGTTAAACAAACATCTCTGGTGTAACAGGCTTCAGTGTGAGGCGGCATAGCTATTTACATTTCTTCTGAGCACCTGCTGTATTTCGCTCTGCAGCAGATGTGGGACATATTCATTGCTTGGAATAGATTCATCACAGCCTCTTGTCTCAGTTGGAATGATTGTCTGGACAAAGCACCGGAGTTTTCATATCCAAGCTGCGATCAACTTTCTGTGCAGCCTGCCTGGGGGAAAAAAATCTATGAACCACAGTTGCAGGGAGCAAAATTGTGAAGAAGGGCCTTTACCATCTTTACCAGGGTGGTTTGGTGTCTTATAGTCAATAGCAAAGATGTTGATTGGCAGATTTCTCTGGACCTTCATCAGGTCTTTAGAAAGAATGTGCAACATTGGTGGTTCTGTTTGGCATTGATTGTTACTGAGATGTTTCCACACCAGAGTGACAAAGCCCTATCAGATTGTCATTAAAGTGTACATATTTATACTCTTTTTAATGGAATGTATGCTCCATGTAGTGTATATGGCATGTATGCTCAATGAAGCAGAGTCAAATTGTCCCCCTGGTTTACCGGGAAGGTGGTGTTGATGAAATGTGCAAGATGATGGAGACTAGAAGGACAGGGGCAGATAACCTGGAGTGAATCTGACTGAATTAAGGCTCGTGGCAGTGGTGGCAGCGAATAAGTTATTCTTCTCTATCACCATTGCATCTGTACAGAGTTGTCCAGTGGACCAATTTTGAGTGTTCAAGATCCTCTTACATGCTAGCCCATAGAAAGAAAATACAGACAGTGTTGTCTGCTGTGAAGAATTTGCACAACACTTTACAGACAAAATTGCACGGATCCGCTCTGACTTGGATGCAAAAATTGATCCAGTTCCTCTGAATATAATTATGGCTCCTGCTTGTCCGGTGTTGATGGATAACTTTCAATTTCTGATGATGGGGACAGGATCCTTGGAGAGGTGAAGGTTAACACACATCTGTTGCCAGCTCGTCCTTTCCCGGCTTATAAAAGCTGCCAGAGAATAGACGGGCTGAGTGGGGAGAAGGAGTGGCGAATGCCTCCTTGCAGCAAGGTGAGATTCCAGCATGTTGATAGGAGGCAGCAGGTGGGTCCCAGAAACTTGTAATCCTTTTATCTAACATTTTAAATAAATAATAATCCTCATGCGCCATCAAGTCAGTTCTGACCTATGGCGACTCTTTTCAGGATTTTGCAGGTAGAGAAGACTCAGAAGTGGTTTACCATAATGTTGATTTAATTTGTTTTTAATATTTGAATAATCTATCATTTTTTAAAAGCTTTCAAATATTGTCTTTTTTTAATGATGTAAGCTGTCTCGGGTCCTTTTTGAGGAGGAACATGGGGTTAAAAAAATATTGTAAATAAATAAATAAATGATGATGGTTTTTTTCTTGCCTTTCTATGCCTGTCTGTGAAGAGGCTGATGATAGCTGACATCTCGTGGGGCTCTCAGTACATTTTGTTTATTAGCACTCTGAGACGGGTTTGCCTCGATTCTAAGCTGTTCTTGAAGAAAGCAACACTGCCGTGCAGATAACGAATGTTCTCATTTAGTGGAAGAGCAAAAACGTGCTGGAAACATGACATCATCAAACCAAAGAGATAAAGCTGCTCACTTTGACAGCCTTGACTTCTTTTAGACAATTCTTTATTTAGAATTAACTCCAGCAGTTATGGTAGAAATATTATCTGGTGGATCTCTGCTTTTTTACTTTCTGATGCAGACAAGATGATTACTGCCTTGAGTTGACTGTGGAGATTTTTTTAGGGTGTAAGATGTAGGACCAAACGTTTTAAACTTTCCAGCTTCCAGTATGTGTCTGGTCTATCCTGAATGAAATTTCACATAACTATGTCTCCTGATAAGGTAACTGAAGGCGGTTCAGGATAAGGAAATCCATTTGATCTAGTGGGATGCAACATTTACAGTGTTAGATGGAGGGAACTGACTGCTTTCTATCTCGAGTCTTCTAGGGGTGGCCAAGGCCTGTTGGCTGATGGGCGGGCATTCGTGCCTGCGGGTGCGTTCGGCTGCAAGTATTCCTTCAGCCCTCAAGAATGTGGAAAATATCCGATGTGGCCTGCATGCTCAAAAGTTTGGAGATCCCCGTTGTAGAGTGTTGGACTGAGACCTGAGAGAATCAGGTTTCAAGCTACCATGGAATGATGGGGCTGAACAATCACACCTTCTTTCTCCGCCTGACCTACCTCGCAGGGCTGTGGTTAAAAATGTGGAGGAGGAGAGTTATATGTAGCATTTCGATCTCCCTTTATTATTTCCTTCCAACAGTAAGGATTTGCTGTCAGGGCAAGCAACATAAACCAAAGCAACAACAACAAAAAAGTCAGCTGTTGTTTTCTTTAGGTGTCACTGTCTGCTTTGATGCATTTATTTGTATTGGTACCCACACCTCACAGCTCCCTAAGCAGAGTGGGCATTGCTTTCATAAATGTGCTGAGGGAGAACGTTTCCCTTAGTAGTATAAATACGCATTACTGTTGCAGAAATGTAGCTG